CTTCCTTCTTTTTTGTTCGCCACCTGTTTCTTAATTGTCCCTTTTCCTCTTTTCTGTTGGTGGATTGTCGGCCTTCTGATTGATTTCCTTTTCGGTACCGATGAACTGATCGACTAGCTTAAGGAATTCGGTGATATCCTTTGATTTGTTGGCCACCACATGCCATTTAAACTCCCTGTGGGTTATCCCTTTCTTTGCTGTAGTGTGTCTTACCGTCGGGTCGAGGTCTGGTATCTGTAGGCAGGTGTCGTTGAAGCACTTAATGTAGCTTTTGATCGATTCTCCTTCCCTCTGAACTACGTTGAGAAGGCTTTCTTGTGACTTCGGGCAATTCTTGCTAGTGATGAAGTGCGAGGTAAATAAGTCTGCGAACTGCGATCAACTTTTGATTGATCCGGTGTGAGCTTCCGATACCAGGTTCGAACTACACCTTTAAAGGTAGTGGAGAAGGCTACACACATGCAAGATTAATCAGCCCCACTAGGTGCATCTGGAACTGGAAAGAGTCCACATGGTCATTAGGATCGAAGGACCCGTCGTACTTGTCTAAGGGAGGCATCTTGAAGTCTTTAGGCATTGGAGCCGCCAAGAGCTCGGGAGACAGGGGAGACAACCTGCAAAGTAGTAGAGGAGCGGCCTTTGTAGCCACCGAGCTTGCTTCTTCCTTACCTTTATTTTGCCCTTCTCGCTGGGTTGGCTTTGCTGGTAGGCTGTTTTGAGCCGAGGTATGGTGTGCCTTGCGACATCTCCGCTGTTGTTTCTTCACTGGCTCGGTGTTGGTGCTGCTGACTTTGGTATGCTCCGGTACTGCTCTGTCATGAGGTAGCTCCTCGTTCCTTGTGGGATTCTGGGGCTGGCTATCATGAGGGACGGAGAGGCCCTATCTCGAGTTCGCACCTCGAACCCCGACCTGGTTACCTGCTAGAAAATCGTCATTTTCTGGCTATGAATGCCAAGGAGGATTGGTCCTATTAGGTTGAGTACCCCCGGACCTGTTTTCGAGGTTCCCTTGCGAGGCCAGTGGAGTAAGCTGACCGTCTCTTCTCCCACGGGGTGAGACCTGACTCCTGGGAGGAATCGATACTTGTGAGGTCTCTTTGCCCCGGTGGGGAGATCGACTGATGTTCTGGTTAGTCCTAGGCCGGTTCTGATTCTGATGGGCCCCTGGGTGCCGAGGTGAAACTGATTGCTGATTTTGTGGCAGTGGAGGGAACTGATGCTGGTACTACTGGTAGAAATAATGCTGCTGGTACTGTTGAAATTGCTGGACCTGCTGCATCTGGATCTGGATAGCCTAGACGCCCTGAACCAGGTCGTTGAATTGGGACTGCTCGACTCTGGGGGGAACCACAAAAGGCTCAAAAAAAGTTGCACCTACCACTAGGGGAAGTGGGGCGCTCACCTGTGTGGTGTTTGGTGGTGCGGTCAGCGTTGGAACTCCAGACGCAATAGCGGGATGGTGAACTGGCCGATACACACCGTAGGGGGTTGGGGTTGCCCCCCGGAGACGTTCATCTTGCTGCTTTTCCCGGTATGATTGGAAGATGCCATTGACGTAGAAATCAAGGTTGGTAACTATGAAGAATGGGTATGACCTTTCAATCGTTGCCCACAGACGGTGCCAATTGTTGTTGCGCGATCTGACTACTCCCTACTGGAGGGCGATCTGGCTTCCAATCGAGCAGCGAGTTGGATCTATCTGCAAGACAGCGGATCAAAGAACCCAGGGTGGCTAACCTAGCGAGGTCGCTTCGATGCTTAAGTTAGTATACTGCAATGCGAGCTGAATGCTTGAGAGTTTGAGAGCTTGAAAGCTAGAGAGTAGAGTAATCATGTGTACCTTTGTCTTGAGGTTCCCGTCTTTATATACTGGAGTAATCGTGGGTCTCACGAAAGAGCTCCGGGATCCCCGGGGTGTGGAGATAGGGTTCGTTCTGCTTCCGAAGGAGCTATCTGTAGATAAGGCTTATCGTTTCACTTCCGACTCTGGCGGAGCTTGGATGAGTCCTCATCGTGATCTCGAAAAAGTCGGGATCTGTTATCTCATCGTGATTTCGAGAGATTTCGGATCTGTTAGAGAAACCTCTAGAGTTGGTTACATGGCGATTCGGGTTGTTAGCACCAAGGTGATACTTCGATTCTTTAGTTCCGAACTAAATTGGATGCTCTTCGATTCTTTAGTTCCGAACTAAATTGGATGCTCTTCGATTCTTTAGTTCCGAATTGGATTGGATGACGAGGTGAGTTTTGGGCCGAGGTGGCTGAATACCCAAGCTCAAACGCCGTGAACTAGGCTCGCAAGGTTGAGCTGTCATCCCTTGGTCAGGTCGTGTCCCCGTGTCCCCTTCTCGCTAAGTAAGGCCAAATCACCCTTCATCAGATACCACCTCCGACCCCTTTATCTCTCTCTCCTCGCCCCCCCGGGCCCACTGTGAAGGACAATTACGATGCTCTCCAATGAGGTAAATCAGCGGACTACTGTTTATACGTAGTAATAGGCTTGTCCTAACACAATTTGTCGAATTTCACTTGAATAACAGATTGTTTTGTTGCTAGTTTTGTTGGGTGTATATAACAGTTAGGAGAACTCAAATCGAAGTTTGGAGAAGAAACAGAGGGCAGCGTCTCAGTTAAAGAAGAGTTTATGATATCGGAATCCGATATAATAGCTAGGATACGGAGTAAGATCCCTGCCATTGCTGTAGTCAGAGGTTCTAAGGCAACCGAACCAAACCAAGAAAGTTATAACACCAGCAACACCAACAGTGCAAACAATGAAGTGGGAGCTTTAATTTTTCCGGATTTTCAAAGATGGATCATCCGATAGAAACTCCAATGTGATCTTAGAAGACAACGGCCCGAATGCAGCAATTTTTTCCCTAAGATTCAACTATTCCACATCTTCCCTAAGATTTCACCGGCTTCTTATCTTTTCTAAGGTTATGTTTGGTTTGAAGGAAAAGGTAGAAAAATGTAAGAAAATTTATACAAGATTTATAAAATTTCCTTATATTTACCTTTCTTTCCCTACCTTTTCTTCAAACCAAACACAGCTTAGATTCAACTATTCCACATCATAATCGCTTCTTCGATCAATTGTTTTCAGTTCTCGGATTTGATGACTAATCTAACGTGTCCCCAGAAAGCGTATCAGCACCCGTTAATGAAGATGGAAGAGCATTAACTACTTTGGTGCTGACGAGCCTTGCAATTTCTTCTCCGAAGATCAAGCTCCGACCCTTCAATGGTATTGTCCTGTAGAATTAAGTTAAATGTAGCTCTGGAAGAAGACGGTGTTTGTGTCGATAACAGTGGCGGAAGAGCCGGTAGGGTTCAGAGAAGGGGACGGACAAGAATCGATAACCGTCGGGCACATGGGGATGGCTCCAGCCTCCAGACAAATCAGCAACAGTGGCTCAGGGCTCCAAAAGTTGGGTGCGCGGAGTATATTTACGGAGAAGTATGGACAGGTTCAACGCAGATTTCTGATTTCTATTGCAGAATTATAAACATTCAAAATGTCAAAATTTTATATTTTATACACGTCAATAAAGTAGCATTAATTCCGAATTGACATCTATTCAAGAACTGAAGATGTTCCCAATATACGATTAGTAAATGCTATAAAATCGGTGTGAGGCGCGCAGTGTAGGAGCCGGACTCGTTAGATTGCCCCTTTTTGCCATGGTGTTAAATTGCCCCTTTTTCACCTACTAGTAAATTGTCTTTTAACGTTAGTTAATTTCCTAAACCTGGGGATAGTTTAAAAAATTTGTCTTTTTTTACTATCTATTGGATTGTGACAAGTGTTCATTTAATACCCCAAAAAAATCAGTGTCCCGCAAAATTATTCCAATCTGACAGATGTTAATGTTGCTGTATCCCATAATGTAAGTAGACACATATGATGGAATTGAGAGAGGTATGGATTTATATCTCCGCCCCACAACGTCCCACAGTATATCTGGAAACATCTCTCGATGATATCATCGGTCTAGTTTTCACAACGTCTCACAGTATATTTCCATGTATATTAGAAGCATCTCGGATGATAATATCATCTGTTCGATCATCATAATTTATCATCAGAAGATGTTCTTAATACATGGCGGGATTCTAATACATCCGCGGAAATGTGCTGTAGGACGTTATGGGGCGGAGATGTAAACTTAAGAGGCGTAGCATCAAATGTGGATCCCACACATCACTTCATACCTGGCCCACTTATGCAGATGAGTGGGCCCATCCTTAACGCGGTTATCCCAACTCCCAAATACTAGACCTTGTGGAAGAAGATTCGTAGAAGGGTCGTCTTTGGTAGCCATGATAAAAATCCTTCACCCTTGTTCTCAGTCTTGCTTTTATGAGTGTGTAGGTCCGGCCCTAGAATTCCTTGATGGATTTATAAAACTCCATTTTTGTGTGGTGGGGCCACCTTCTTTTCTTGCCACGTGTAAAAACTGATTAATTTAAACTTCTTTTCTGGACGATCCGACCAGAAAAGAGATCGAACTTGGCAAAATTGAATAAAAGCCCCAACTTTGTAGAAGCGGAGTGTATTTATCTCTGCAGCCAAACATTCCCATTAGAAGTAAGACTCCAAAAGTTGGTAAAGGCCCCACAGCGAGGGTGGCCCTGGGCCGTCTGCGGTTTGGCACCGACTCGATCAAGTGAGTGGGGCTAATCTAAAGCTGATCTTATCGTATTGTGGGTCCCACTACTGAGTTAGAGAGAACAAATCGAAATATCGTCTATATGACATACATCATGCTCCATAAATGTTCTCCACCAGCCAAACAATACCCTTCTGACACAAACACAAGCTCTGCCCTGATAATCTGATTCTGACCATCCACTTGGATGACTTTTGGTCTAAGAAAAGTCTACTCCATGGGCCCTAAATCGAGACACGTGTACGGTAGAGATGTCTTCACTGTACAGATATATATGGTATGAAGAGTATCCAATGCTTTCTTCTTAAAACCTTCTCCTGTAGATAACCTCGTCAATAAGTCCAGTGATTCCAATTTCCAATCTGGCATTCTGCTTCTCTCCCCCGCAAAAGCTTCGAAAACATTCTCTCTCTCTCTCTCTGACTTCAGCTCAAATTTTCTTTTCTTTTCTTTTCCACATTCATTCAAACCGACTTTCTTCAGACCATTAAAAGCAGTCTCTCACCTACATTTTTCTTGTTCAATCTCTCTCTCAACTGTAAATAGTTAGGAACAGAACAGAGCATCCATGGCTGCCAACAAGTTCGCAACCATGTTGAGTAGAAACACACACAAGATCACTGTAATTCTCGTCTATGCAGTTCTTGAATGGATTCTGATATTCCTCCTCCTCGCAAACTCTTTGTTTTCTTATTTGATTGCCAAATTCGCCAACTACTTTGGCCTTAAACCTCCCTGTCTATGGTGTTCCAGAGTTGATCATGTCTTCGAGCCTGGAAAAAGATGTAGCTTTTATAGAGATCTTGTTTGTGAGAGCCACGCCTCTGAGATTTCCAAACTGGGTTACTGTTCCAATCATCGGAAGTTGGCTGAAGCGCAGCAAATGTGCGAGGAATGCTCGTCTTCTCGGCCGAATTGTCATGGGAAGTCGATCGATATCGGGCGACGGATCGCTTTCTTTTCTTGGTTGAAGGATATGGATGTGATCTCGAGTGATGGTGAGAAGAAGGTTGAGAATGGTGAGAAGATTTCGAGGTGTTCGTGCTGTGATGTGAGCATGAGCGGCAAACTTTACTCCCCCTATTTGCTGTTTCAGCCTTCATGGGGTGTTTTGGATTATGCCCAGAAAGGAAATTTGATTACTGCTGCCAACGGTGAGGATCACGATGGAGGTGAGTACTCGGATCCATGTAAATCTGATTGCCAGACTGATCGCTGCTGCGACGATGAACATGACAGGGGAGAAAGAGAAGATGATGGTAGATTGGATGATGAACATCGTCTGCTTTCTGATTTAGATGAAGTTGTTGAAAGAAGAGAAAAGGAGCTAGAAGAAGACTGCTTGAGGTCTCCATCAAGCATAAGAATCGAAGAAATAGTAGGATATGAAGACGAGAAAGTGGGCGCTGTTAGAATAAAAGAGCAAGAGCCACCGGAGGATGAGAATTCAAGTATGTGTGTAGAAGGTATAAATGCTGTTCTTCAATCTTCTGATGACATTATTTTTGAAGCTCGTCATAGAGAAGATGCATCTATTGAAATCATCTCTCTACGTTTGGAGAATATCAATGATATCGATGACCACCGCCTGGTTCCAATCGAATTGATCGATTCTATGACTGATGATAACCAAACCTTATATGGATATAAAGAGGAAGATCAGAACAAGCATGATCATCCAGAAGGACTGTTGGATACTGAATTGCCTATTGAGACGCAAACGGAATCAGTTGTTGACAAGGAAGACATTATAGCAGAGGAATCAGCTGTGCTTTTGGCCGAGGGGAGCGAGGAGAAAACAAGTCCTATGGAGCTTCAATCCATGAAACTGGCGGAAATTGAGAACTGTTCCGCTTTAAACATTGATGAATGCCAAGGAGATTTAGTCGGTGAGGTATGTGAGCAGGTTACCATTGCTCGAGAAGTAAAGGAACCAATCGATATTCCAGGTAAAAGGAATTAATTACTTTAAATGGATAAGTTGCTTATTTATTAGTTCTTTCTACATTCATGTTCAAGAAATCTCAAAATGAAGCATCTCTAAAATCTACAATTTCTTGATATATGCAGCATCTGAAGAAACTAGTTCTAAATTGTTGGATAATGGGACTATATCAGAGATCCCAATAGAGACAGATATGCCTGATCAGCAACCTAATGATCTGCCTCAAGTTCATGAACCTGTTACTATAATCCCATGCCTGCCAGAAGAGCACTTCTCCAATAATTACAGCAATGCTGGAAATTCTGCAATCTCTGATACGTTGATGGCAGATGATGGCCAAGGTAAGACTTAGAAAACTCTGTTTGTCATCTCGTAATCAAATTCCTTTTTCTTTTAAGTTTCAATACATTTCTTCAATAGGAGTTCAGTTTGTAATGTGAATCTTACCATATTTAGATTCCAAGCAAGCTGAGGAAGCCACCATAGAAAGCAAAACCATATCTGTTGACAGAACTGAACAAGGAATAAACCATCATTTGTCCTTATCCTTAGAGCTTAATGAGGTTGAGGAAGAGAAAGCACCTGAAACACCCGGTTATGTTGAAGGCATCCACCAGATACATAAAAAATTGCTACTGTTAGAGAAAAAGGAATCTGGGACAGAGGATTCTCTGGATGGAAGTGTCAATAGTGATTTTGAAATTGGTGAGGGGGTTCTGACTGTTGAACGCCTGAAAACAGCACTCAAAGCAGAGCGCAGGGTTCTGAAGACTTTATATGCAGAGCTAGAAGAAGAGAGGAGTGCTTCTGCAATAGCTGCTAATCAGACAATGGCAATGATAACTAGGCTTCAGGAGGAGAAAGCTGCAATGCAGATGGAAGCATTGCAGTACCAGAGAATGATGGAAGAACAATCCGAGTATGACCAAGAGGCTTTACAACTTTTAAACGAGCTTATGGTCAAGAGGGAAAAGGAAAAACAAGACCTGGAAAAAGAGTTGGAAGTTTATCGCAAGAAGGTCCTTGATTATGAGGCAAAAGAGAAAAGAAGGCTGAGAAGGAAGGACAGTAGTGGAAGGAGCAGAGCCTCATCCTTTTCTTCCAGCAATGCTGAGGACAGTGATGATCTCTCTATTGATCACCACGGAATTAGGGATGAATATAGCTGCTTATATGGTCATCAGGAAAGCAGCAATAATTGTACTCCTGTTGATGCAGTTCTAGATTTGGAGGATGTGGGTATAGAATGTGCCAAGCATTTGAGTACTCTTGATGAATCACTAGCTGAATTTGAGGAAGAGAGGCTCTTAATTCTAGAGCAGCTCAAGGTACTTGAAGAGAAACTATTTGCATTAGCAGATGAAGAGGAAGAGTTCTTTGAAGATGTGAAACTAATTGATCATTTTCCAAAAGAGAACGGCAAAGAGTTGAATGTGAATTCTGATGTTAGCAATGAGGAAGTAAATAGACTTGAAAATGGTTTCTTCGAGGAATTTGACACAAAATATTATCAAGAGAGAAGAGACATTGGCAGTAAAGCAAAGACGCTCCTTCCTCTTTTTGATGCTATTTCTATAGAAAATGAAGATGGGATAATGGATGAAGAACAAGGAGGATCTGATTCCATTGTCTTGCAAACTTCATCATCTGCCAAGCTCGCATTGGAGAACAAGAAGCATGCCATTGAAGAGGAGGTGGAAAATGTATATGAAAGGCTACAAGCTCTTGAGGCAGATAGAGAATTTTTGAAACATTGTATTAGCTCCTTGAAGAAAGGAGACAAGGGGATGCATCTTCTCCAGGAGATTCTGCAACACCTTCGTGATCTGAGGACTGTGGAGCTCCGTGTAAGGAATATGGGTGATAGTGCTGTAGCATGAGTTTCTGATCAACCATTTTGAACAGGTATATAATAGGTAAAATGACATTCTTTTCTTTTATGGGCCAGATAAGTACCATTATTTCAAATTATTTATATGTAACTCAATTGTAACTCTTTGTGAATTTAGTTGGCACAATTTAAGTGAATTGATATGCCATTGTTCCTGTAACATTGAATACATGTATGCATGCTGATTTCTATGTGACTGTGATCATACATGTATGGTTTTGCAGAGTGCAGATTGATACACACCAGTAGGCATTTCAAGTTTTGATTTACATCTCAATTTACCTAGAATTTCTATTTATCCATTTATGTGTGGAATGCTCATAAATATGTTTCCCCCTTGATGAATGCAGATCAATTTCCCAAGGTATAGTGCATAGTGGGATGAGCACTTCTGTGATGATGATGATATGGAGAAAGATGCTTACAAATTTCGCGCCTTTTATGGCTAGCATGGGAAGTCCCCTTGAAGGAGAGGGAGGCTTCTGTTATGGTTTGCTGATATTGATCCATGAGCAGCAGGCAAGAAAAATGAAGCCTGCCTACTTTTTCTTCTCTTTTTGGTGTCCATCCAAGTCAACCCAAGTTTTTGCGGGTTGTGCTCATCACCACCTTTTGCAGGGAAGGGTGCAGCATGAGGAGGCAGGGAGGTAATCATGCATCTGTGTGAGTGTAGGTTAGTCAGGTCAGGCCACCCTGTCATCGAACGTGTGAGAAATCCTGGCTCTAAAAGCCAATAGACATAATAGAAACTCTGATGCCAGGTAGACAGCTTTAGTTTTTACAAAGTTAGGGACTAGCACATTTCCTTTTTCTTTTTCTTTTCACTTTTTATTTTTTAGGGAAAGGGTAAGGGGAGCCATCCTTCTTTCTCATCTTTGCATCATTTCATCATTTGTGTCTTGACTAGTTGGAGGTCTAGTCGGATTTATCTGTACAAACATGTACCCTTTTGTATCTATATAAGTGAGTATTTGTTGTTACTGGTTTTGTAGTTGTTGATATTTCTTCTTCTGGTGGGAGAATTCATAGCATGGGTGGACTAGCAAGTAGCAACCTAATATAAAAAGGTTGCTTTGAAATGCATTTTGCTTTAAGCAACAATAATTAAAGGTAGGTATGGACACAAAGTGGTTACCAAGTTATTCCTTTCTCTGTGGATATTAGACATTCATATTAAAATGCACCAAGGATTACATGGTTGATGGGACAAAACTGGGTCAATAGCATTGGAAATGGATTTCAAGTTCTGCAATCTGAGTGGTGTGAGGTCTAATTGCAAAATGAAAATTGAAATCATATAGAAGATGATATGGAGAGCACCAACCATACAACCTGATGTAGAGAAGCAAATATACAACAATTGACAGAGGCAGTTGTTCATTTCGATTATCTATTTAGGCATTTTGAGGTCTTATGTTCTTTGAGATGTAAGATTTCAAACTAAATCACAGCTTACAGAATGTATTTTTTTAGTAGTGTGGTTGGCTCTAGACGACTCATGAACTACTCACTAATAAATTGCAGCCTTGGAATTTGTTTAGCTCACTTGCATATCCAATTTTAAATCGGGAATGCTTTCATGGGTAAGTTCAAGTCAGGGTTGTGCTTGTCTGCATTTGATGACAAAAAGGATACTGAACAATTCAAGGTCAACTAACGCCATCTAGAGATCGGTCTCCCTTGGATAGTGACGTGATTTTGTGAGAGGCAGCCACCAGTTTCAGAAAGGTTAGCATCTAATATTCAGAAAAGGAAAGATCCCTGGAAGAACTATTAGACCTAATACTTTTAAGGGCTGCCCACTGGCTAAAAACTATGGAACTGTTCTCAGACTTTTCTATTGCTGACCTGTTAAGAAACTGGAAAGATATAGCAACCTCTACTCTATGTAAGAGGATTCTTAGTCCCTTGCGGTCCCCTCCTCCCTCCAGATTTATAAAAGTGAATTTTGATGGCAGTAGCATAAGGAATCCAGGGCCCTCTGGGATTGGGGGAGTTTTCAGGAATGAAGAAGGGATTGTTATTGCTCTGTTCTCTGTCCCTATTGGAGAAGAAGACTCTATTAAGGCTAAGATCCTTGCAGCTTTGGAAGGGGTTCAAAGAGCAAGGGAACTAAATATCAATCGGCTGACTTTGGAAGGTAATTCAAAGGTGGTGATTAGCTGGTTGAAGAAAGAAGACAGTGGCTTGTGGAGTTACAATAATGAAAAGAAAAAATTCTTATAGCTATGTAGAGGCATTGAGATACAATACAGCTGGGTGAACCAAGCAAGAGGTGGATAGGGAGGCTATTTTTTGGGCTAATTTTTAATCTTCTTTCATTGTAATTTTCTGATGGGGAGATAAGACTCTTTATCTCCCCCTTTCTTGTACCTAAAGCTTCATAATTCTTAATAAAGTTTCTGTTTTTGATAAAAAAAAAAAAGGTTAGCATCTAATAAATTCATTTGGTTCATAAGAATAGGGCTCTGGAATCAGATTCCAACTGTTTGGTTGGGCGGAATTAGAATCCCATTCTTATTCCTGGTGGAATAACATCCCTCCATTTAAGGGAATGGTCATTCCTTCCCCTCGGGAATTAGAATCCATTCTAGCTGATTCTGATTCCGATTCTAGTTCCTGTATGAACCAAACAGGCAGAGGAATAGATCATTCTGATTCTGACTGTAATCTAAATGGACCCTCAGACAGGGGAGAATAGATCATTCCGATTCCGACTATAAACCAAATAGACCCTTAGAATTTTTTTCTTTCTTATGAGCCAACACAATAGGGTATAGCCCTCCGCCCCTCCCCCAAACCCCTAGACTCCCCTACCCAGGTGAAGGTGGAAGTGGAACTGGATCCCAAGTCTCCCCTACAACCAACTAGAGACTTTACCGCAGGCAAGACTGACACTTTCAGTAATGGAGAATTGATGTGTATTAACTATAGGAATTAGTAATCGCTGAGATGCTCATATTACTGTAATCGAAAAAGAAGTGCCCAATGGGCCTCTAAAAATGTCAAGTGATTGGAGCTGTAATGTTGCGTATATGTAGAGAAACTCAAACAGTTGTCAATGATGACATTGCAGCAGTTGTAAATGAAATCCAAGAAAGTGATTGTGGGGGAGGGGGTTCAATCTCCTTGGAGGAAGGACTGTTTCCCTTACAAGGTCTTATTTTTTATGAGTATCCTTGGAGAGCTGTAACCAATAAATTGCTAAACCTTACTGACCTTAGGGCACTGGTCCACCCCTTTCGAGATGTTGTAAAATCGGTTTACATGTGATGTCAGTTGGGCTTGTTGGTTTCTTGGATTTATGAACAGTTCATCTAGACTTGTTAAAATAAAACTCTTTTCTTTTTTCTTTTTGATAATTAATTGGGTTGAAAATCTAAAATCAACCTAGCTAGACCTCATCTCTGTGAACATCTATATGATTTGAACAGAACTCGTGAATGTTGAAACTAAGAAGATCAAATCTCAAGCTGAAGCACATCGAATCAACTTGAATGGATGAATAGAATTTTCTTGCATTTTTTAAACAAAAAAAGAATATAATATTACACAGTTAATATTAAAACTCAAATGTTCATGGTGAATATTGATATTGAGGGACCGTTCGCTTTTTGAAAAATTACTTATCCAGGTTAGTGCATTTACCCATGTTTTTTTTTATTTTCCAGGTAAATAAAACACTGACCGTTTTAACCATAAAAAATCCATTATTATAAGGGGCATTTTTGTCCCATCAAAGTATTGGCAATTTCCCCCATGTGAGAAGATATTTACCCAAGTGAGAGATTACCTAGGTAAATGATACTCAGAAAAATAAACTTTCCCTAATCCCCACATAAATATAAAAAAATGAACATGAGTTTTTTGATGGACCAACTTTTCCCCTCTCAAAATCTAAAATACAAATGCCCCCTGAAATTAAACTATCCTTGGAGTGGCACTACATCATTCTGTTCCTTTACTTTTTTATTTGAAAGAAATCACATTGTTCTCCCACTGCTGAATGGTCATATTGGAACTCTAGCCATTTTTGTTGTTTTTGTCTCCATAAAAATAAGCCATAAGAGACACAGGCAGAGTTCGGGTACTTGTTTGAAAACACAAGTGCTCATAAGCTTTGGTGAAAAAGCGCTTATTTCAAATAGAGACGGTATAGATATTTTTAAAATGGCATGGCCGGCTAAGGAAATAAGCATTTATTAAATAAGCACTTAAAAATAATAAATCCATAACTTGAGCTTCTCAAATAAGTGCTTATTCCTCAGGCTTATTTATCAAATGTAAATAAATATTTATTTATCAAATGTAAATAAATACTTATTGATATGGTCCCAGGTCCCCACCCCAATAAGCACTTATTTTTAAGCATTCCCAAACTTTGGCCTCAAAGTCGTTTATAGGTTTGTTAAGAGACTCGTGGGGTGTTTGGGTGCCAACAGAAATGGAATCATTTCATTTCATTATCTCATTCATGTTTTCTATAACTAAAATGGCTCCACATAAAATGATTAACTATTGCTCAAAAATGCAAGGAACCACAATGAAATCATTTCACTCCAAGTGGTTCCCAAATTCACTAAAATTGGTGAGACTGAATCACGCAACCACTCTGTTGTCTGGCCAACTGTAAGCTGATTTTCAGATTTTTGTTAATTGCAACCACTCAAAAAGTTTGTAAACAACCAACTGACCAATAGCTACAAGGATTTTATTAACTACCGCCAAAATCTCCTACGTATCTATACATCTACATCTATATCGATTGTTTTTGAGAGGCCTTAAAAGTTGGTAAACAGTCATCATGGTTTCACCTTCAAGTGAAAAGTTTATCATCTGTTAGAGAGTTAGGGCGCTCGTTTTTGGGATTTTGAGAGGAAAAAAGTTGGTCAATGGGATTGTGACTAAGAAACCTATTCTCTTTCTTCAGATTTATGTGGAGATCAGGGGAAATTTATTTTATTGGATATCATTTACCCGGGTAATTCACAATACCATTGACCAAGAAACCTATATACTTTTTTCAGATTTATGTGAGGATCAAGGAAAGTTTATTTTTCTGGGTATCACTTACCTGAGTAAGTAATACCCATCTCCTAAGTTGATAAATTAACTTTCCCATCAAGGGAAAAGTTGCCAACACTTGGACGGGACAAAAATGCCCTTTTTGATAATGAAATTTTTATGGTTAAAATGGTCATTATTTTATTTACCTGGGAAATAAAAAACATGGGTAAATGCACTTTCCTAGGAAACACTTGCCCGGGCAAGTAACTCACCAAAAAGTGAACGGGGCCTTAGAGTGCAAAGTTGAGTAAATTGAAACACTGAACAACTTCTGCAAATTCTTTTGTCAAGGGATGAAAATGAAGAATGTGTATCAAGTGTCATTCCAAAGTCACTACTTGCAGGAAAAGAACGATATGTTCTACCAAAGAAAAAAGTACATAAGAGTATTGATTGCAAGGAAGGACTCTTACATGTTTCCAGGAAGCAAAATTGATAGAAGTGCAGCATTAATTTACTTCACTCATATATATAATTACTTGAATTTTTATCCCATCATTCAGTTCAGATGTAACCATAGACTCCAAAAGGAAAACACCAGCCTCTCACCTGATTGCTCTTTCCAAGACCTCTATTTTACTCCACTGAGAATTCAAACAACATAGTGTGTTTATACTTCTCACCTGGTTGAACAACAACAGAAGGGAAGCTTGGCTGGTTAATAGCATTTGGGAATCCTTGTGTCTCCAAACAAAGCGCTGAATGCTTTCCATAAACAGCCCCGCCTTTACCAACAACACCATTCACATAGTTTGCAGTGTAAAACTGCATGCCAGGGGCATTGGTCCATAGGTTCAAGACTCTTGAGCTCGAGGGATCTTTGACTTTAGCAGCATGTTTCAAGCCTGATTTCTCTTCTCCAAAGTCAAGCACATAGTTGTGGTCATATCCTAGGCCGGAAACTTCATTGATTGAGGCACCAATCTTCTTCTCTGCTGTGAAATCAAAGGGGGTTCCTTTAACCGGCATAATTTCACCAGTTGGAATGCTATTCTGATCCACCGGAGTGATGTGAGATCCCCATATCTGAATCAAATGCTCAAGTACATCCCCAGAACTGTGGCCTGCTAAATTCCAGTAGGTGTGTTGAGCTAAATTAATTGGAGTAGGCTTATTTTCAGGCACAGCTTCCATGTCAAGCTTCATTGTTGCACTTGAAGTAAGCGTATAAGTCGCAGTTATAATAACATTTCCTGGGTATCCTGGTTTGTATACAGCCAATGAATTAGAAAATTTTGAAGCATTACCAAAAGAAACAAACCAAGAGGTATACCTTCTTCACCATCATGACTGTGATATCTGAAAGTAATTGATGGGTTTTCTCCATCTTTACGTTCAATAACTTCCCATACCACTTTATCAAAACCCTTGTTACCACCTAGAAAGGAGGAAGGGAATTAGAAAAAAAAAACATACTTAGGCGTGCAACTTGATGATTCTGTACTTCTTTAAGACAATTTGTTCAAAAGATCTGTAAGGCAAAAATTCAACTCCATATGAAGCACGTGTCCACTAATAAAGGGACCAACTTTTCTCTTGGTTCAGAATCAATAGAAAAAGAAATAAATTTTCAGCCATAGATGGTCATAGCAGTACTTGAATAATGAAATTACTTGTAACTTCTTTACTAGAGAAACACCAAAATTTCTTCCAGAGCCAAATACATACATTCAAAACCAAAAGATAACTTCTTTATTAGATGAATAGAAAATTTTCAGTCAATAAATGCAATGGAATTGCTGGGAAATTAAGGGAGTATTTGGTACCATGGTTGTTTAAAGTAGAATTGGTGTCAATGCTAGCACCATATAGGCTTTTAGAGTTCAATGGTCAATTTTCTGTTTGGTTGGAAACTGTTCTGAGTCAAAACAGTAGATGCAATGGAACTACTGGCAAATTAAGGTTGTCTTTGGTATCATTGCCATTTCAGGCTGAAACGTTTTGAGTAGTGTGGGTGGTGCAAGTTTCAACAGTTAGAGGAGAAGCCTGTTTGGTTAACACTTAATGTTTATAGTCTCAACAGCAATGCTGATTAGGCGTTTATAGTAGATGCGTGTTTGGTATGTCCTATTTCACGTTGAAGTGTTTAAAGTAAACATTTTGATTCTATGTAACACCAATCACACTTCCAATTACTGTTATGCCAATCTAATGGACAAGAATTTTCCAAATCCAAGATTTCATCAGATTTTATTTTTCTCCAGTGTACAGGGGTGTTATGTCTGTAAATGTGTTATAAGGAGCTTCAGGCTTCTTGAGAAGAAGAAGACGATGGAGCTTATACAGTAAAGAAGACTGAGTTTATATTAGCTTTGCTCAAAGTGTTGTATGATACGTGATGTCTATATTAATTCATCACCATGCTACATCAGATGACAGGTAAGTGCCATATCAGCTAAAACATTGTGAGATGCAATGACTGTTGGGGGAAACCTCAATTTGATGTTTCCTCTAATGGCCCCCTGTTGCTATTTTCAGACCAAACGTTTTTTGACTGTTTTGAGTTAAAACAGTCACAACCAAATAAAAAATTTCCATTGCAATTCAAAATGCCTACATGGCACTGATGTGGCAGGGTTTCAGCTACCAAACATACCCTAAGAGAGTATTTGGTACCGTGGTTGTTTAAAGTAGAAATGGTGTCATGCCAGCACCATATAGGCTTTTAGGGTTCAATGGTCAATTTTCTGTTTGGTTGGAAACTGTTCTGAGTCAAAACAGTTACAAAACACTGCATTAGAAATCCATGCCAAGGGGTGTTTGAAGAAACATCAAATTGACCGTTCCTGCTCCCGGAGGCAAAGTCTCAATGCCCCAACTGATGTAGCATTGACATGGATGAAAAAACACGCATTTCTCACCAGTCACCAAACAGGATTCAAGCATAAATGGCGGTGCTTGTGTTTCAAGTATAAATAGTGCTTCAACCCAAAACACTTCAAGTTGTGACACCAACAGTACCAAAAACCAATCGAAGATGTTTCTGTAACTGGAATAAATATTGCTGCACTTAAACTGCTTTAACATCATCCTAAAGAGAATGCTCTCCTGATCCATGCAGTCTGTTCTTTCTGCATAATTTCTTTTTTTTTTTTTGAGAAAAGGTGAAGTATGATTATATTAATAATAGGCCCTGTGTACATTGAGAAGCTGTACAAAAGAAGGACCTCAAAAAAAGGCCATCCTCAAAAAAGTATAATCAGAAAACTATCTTTAAAAACCGTAGACATCCAACTTTTCAAAACTTCTATAGACCAGTTAATGACCTCCGCTTCTGTAGAAGGTTGTTTTTCAAAAATCCTCTTGTTCCTTTCTGACCACACAGCCCACAGCACTGCCAAAGGGATAGAGTTCTAGCATAATTTTCCTTTTTTAGACATCCCCTGAATCTACCATTCCTCAAACAGAGCTCTAACTGAGGCTGGCATGCACCAACTTAGAAACAAATTCAACTAATAATTTTCCTTTCTGCATAATTTCATCTTCACAAATAAATTTTACTTATTTGTTTTTAAAATGAAGAAACAAATTCAACTAATAACCAAAAGAACAGTAAGATAATGGAAAGACTCCTTTACATGCAATGTTCAAGAAACTGATTTCTCACACTTGTATGGGCAGGGTAGCCGAGTGCACCAAGGCTCCCACCAATGCGGGGTCTGGGGAGTGACAGATGTACGCAGCCTTACCCAGGTTGTTTCCAATTTCACACTTGTAAGGGGATTATACAAATTTTCTTTATCTAATTTATATATTGAACATGTTCTATTGATTTCTGACAATCAAACACAATGCAGATTAACCATTCGCAAGTGGGTAATCCATGCATGCAACCAAGAAAACAAGATTCAGGTTTCCCATCTTTATGGCACAAAGAAAAACACAAATTTACCATGCAACAAGGGGTTTAGCTCTTAACCATCAAGACTGTTCACTTTTGCAGTATTCCACATATATGAATTCACTCAAAAAACAGAAAGTTCATACAATTCTTCAGATCTCGAAAATGTACCGTGGAGACTGTTGGGTGGATTGTTGATCGGCAAAGAGTACTCCACTCCATTGAGCATAAACTTCCCATCTTTGATTCTGTTTGCAACCCGACCGACAATGCAGCCAAAATACGGCGCAGCACCTTTCTGAACAAACAGATATTAACACAGACACCATGGATGAGAAAAACAGAAAACACACAGAGCGAGATAGATAGATAGAGAGAGAGAGAGAGAGAGAGGTCATGGTTTGTCGTACCTCCAAAGCGAATTTCTAAAAAAAATATATGAAATGGGTTCCCTTATTTCTCTAGATCAATTCACAAAACTACAATATCCACGATCGATGTCTTCATCAAGAACTAAGAATTAAAGAAAACCGAACTGTTTGATGAAAAGGGTAGACGAAACTCACAAGATATGGCTCGAGGGAGTCGAATCCCAGAACGACATCGGTGAGGTTTCCTTGAAATTCAATAGATTCAAGCATCAATAACATTCCCAACTTTGAATTCGAAAAGGAGGAAAGATGAAGAGTGGAACACCGGAACAGGGGAAAAGGAAAGTACCTTGTTTGTCAGGGACGAGCAGAGAAGTGATCGTGGCACCATAGTTACTGATCTTCACTCGCACGGTTCCATTGTCGAGTTCGAACAGCTCTGCTTTCTGAGTATCGGCCATGGACTCTCCCCTTCCCTCTTATGAGAATTACTGAAAATGGAAGTGTCCTAGAAATCAAAATTTATACAGAGATAGTTTGTAACTTATGAGAGTGGTTTCGTAGGATCGGATGAGTCGAGTCGGGACTCGGGACTCGGGAGAGCAGGGGAGAGAGTCAGAGATCTCTTTATCAGATAAGACTAAGACTTAAGAAGGGACCCACTCTTGACTGTGTATGAATCATGGAACAAATATTAGGGAAAATTCCATTTTAGTATCCTGACCTTTCGGTAGTGTCAAGTTAGTATCGGAATTTTTAAATGTGTCATTGCAGTATTTAAATTTTCAAAAAATGTTAAGTTAGTCCCTACAGTTAATCGATGTCAGTTATTTATTGAAAATGTCAAAATTATCCTTCTATACTATTCATTGTCTTCTACCTTGAGATTGAACCGGTTGAGGTGTTTGAGATTCTACATTAATAAAGTTATTGTCTTCTACCTTTAGATCTAAATCACATTCTTGTCTAGCTATTTCTTTGCTTTCAATTATTGTTTCCTTCTATCATATTTCATGTTTTTTCTCTCTTTTTTGTTGAAAATAATCGATTAAGTCTCAAGGTAGAAAACAATGAACAATGCCTGGGTGGTTTTGACATTTTCAACAGATAACTAATGGTCCATTAATGGCAGGGACCAACTTGACACTTTTTGAAATTTTAGGTACTACAGTAACACATTTGAAAGTTTGGGTACTAACTTAACACTACCCCCAAGATTCAGGATACTAAAGTGGAATTTTCCTAAAATAAAAATTCAAGAAATAATTACTTAAAAGAAAAAATATTTTCAGATTGCCTTTTAAAGCTATTTTCTATTAAAATAATAAATGTTATAACTAATAACATCTATTAAATCTTCACCCTGGCTTCCACTTCAGGCAAGTGGTTGTATATTTTGGCTTAAAAAAAGTGGGTACATATGTTTCAAGAAAGAATATGAGAAAGCATTTCACATGCAACTTATAAAAAAAAACTACTTCAAATGATGTGGAACCCATACTAATTCAAATAAGGGAAAATTCAAAATTTATGATGCCAAAAAGACATCATAAATTGATTGGTTGATTGGTTGCAAAATTTTCTGTTGGTTCTTATTTTATGATGCCAATTGATTGGTTGCAAAATTTTCTGATATCATGTCTTTCGAACATCATATTCGAGCCCTTTTATTAAAATGCATCTTTAGACCAACGTTTTAAAAAACATCCCAATTCCATAGAACATTAAAAAAACTTACCAGAAGGTGGAATCATTTTTGCCTCTAGGTCATAGGTCATTGGTTTGATTGTCTAAGTCGATATATATTATTTCATATTTAATTTATATATTTTAATTCAGTTTTAATTTTTTATTTGTAAAAAATACTAAAAATTAGAATTTGAAGTAAAAAAGGATTTTTTTTAGGAAAATAGCAAGGTATGGTGCCTTGAGATTCATAGATCTCAAAAAGTTATCCAAAATCAAGAAAGAAATGCTCACTCCAATCAGACATTCAAGCACAAAGTTATGGCCTTCATAAGTTTGCATACACTTGTGCAACCTGTTACCTGATTACTAGGTCAAATGATTTTTTACTAGGCTAATGGTTTTTGACTAATTGTCAGATTTTAAGAGAATTAGACCTGGAATTATGACTAATTAATGGTTTGAATGGTTTAACCGATCAGGCCAACGATGGGTTGAAAACATTGTTACAAAGTACAAAGTAAGGATTGTATTAAAATATAAATGTTTACAAATAAAACCTGATTTAACCTCTTAAATCAAATAAAAAATTAACTTAAATTTACCAATATAGATAATAAGTGCCAAACAAAATATTTCAAAATAGTTTCCTCATATTAAATAAACTAGCGGAGCCCCGTGGAGCCCCGTGCAATGCATAGGATGGGGCACTCCTCCCTGTCCCTTGCCCCCGTAGTCAAGACACTCCGCCCCATCCCCGGTGGTGGGGTAGGTTCGAGGCGAGGCACCCATTCCCTGTTGGGGATGGGGAATCGCAAATTTTCCCCACCCCGAGGCAACCATCTAAAAATAATCTAATTTGTGGATATTTTACAAATAAGGTTATGAGAATTTGGGGGTATTTTAGGAATTTGATTATGAAAATTTGGGGGTATTTTATAAATGGAATTATGAGATCCTAGGAATATAAAAATATGAGGAAAACTTAGAGATATTTTAAAAATCACTATTAAATCTATGATATTTTACTAATTTGCAATCGGGTTTGGGGAATTATATGCAAACTCAATCCCTTACTCGTCCCTAATTTGGAGCAAAAATATTTTCCTTGTCCCCACCCTATCTCTTCTCCATCCCTATTTAAAATTCGTGAAAACTTGTTCCTTTCAAGGTAGGGTAGGGTAGGGCCCTAATTTTACAGGGAAAATTGCCATCCCTACAATTCTAATAATTTTCTATAACTAATTAACTAACAGTAAATTAAATAACAATAAATTACAATATTTTATAATAATTTCCAAAAATTATTGAAATTATTGTTGATTAGCAAAAATGTATACTAAATTCATTATTTACAATAACAATAAATTAATGTAAATTATTTACCTTTCAATCCTAAATTATTTACTATTAATCAATGTGATGTAATTATAGTAAACTAATGAAATTATGGTAAATTACATTAATTTTAATTAAAAGTAAATCATTTGTTTTTAATTAATGTAAAACCAAGTGTGGTTGAGGTCAACCAAGTGTGGTTGAAGTCAACCAAGTGGTCTAGACCGGTGTGAATAGATTTAATAATTTTCCCAAACTATTTCATAATTATTTATTAAAATAATAATGGATTGTTATTTAAATAAATATGAAACAATTTATGATAGATTAATTTCCTAATTTAGTTTTCCTAAAATTTCTAATAATTATTTAGTTGAATAATAATAATGGACTATTATTTAAATAGTTTTGGATGATTTTTTGTAGATTAATTTTATGGAATATTAGTTAAACAATTTCCCTAAATTATTTGATAATTGTTAACTATAATTATTGATTTTATAGAAATTAGTAAATTGCACCATTTAGTAATATCATTTTATGAATAAATAATTACTGTAAAAATTTAATGAAAATTTATTACATTACAATGATTAATGTAAATTATGTTAACATTAAAAATTTGAACATTTATTAATTAACCAATTTTTAGTTTTCACTAGTGGTTGGTCATTTCGAATGACCAACTCCTAACCCAACCATATCAATTTGGCTAGCCAAACAATCCCCAACCAAACTGAATTGCCTAGTAAAACTCTTAATTTCTGCTAAATTAATAGTATAATCTCTAACAAATAACAATAGTTTAATTTCTAATAATTATAAAAAATTTATAGCAAAAATACACAATTGCTGAAAAATATATTGATGAGGGCAGATTTGGCCCTCCAGTGAAATTGCGACACGTGGCACCTCGTGACAACTAGGCAAGCACCCAGGCGACAACTTACCAAGTTGGTCTCCCCCCCGGGCACCGGTCTGGCTGGCCTGGCGCGACCTGCACGCGGCCTGTGCGACCTGGCCGGATCAGCTTGCCACA